AGAGCTTTTCCAAATTTCAAACCTTGACAAGAGAAAGGCCGGTCCTCCCCGCGGCCTTCAAAACGAAACGAGAAGCCCAAGCCCTCTACCTTACCCTGCTGTGAAGCAGGAAGAGAACTCACTCCAAGTTATTCTTGGTAAAAGACGAGAGCTTTATTCGAGCAGAGAGAGCCTTTACCTCTGGGTAAGTCACTTTTATTTTAAGAAGATTGAAGAGACCTCGCTCCTCGCAAGAAAGGACAGAGCTCCCCTAGCTTCCAAAAAGAAAGATTCTCTACCTCATCCTCCACAAGAAATGACTGAGAGCTTCCTCCCATGTAATGAGACGCAAGAGAGCTCCATCTCAGTCCAGCAGACAGGCCCCTCCAACTTCACGAAAAACAAGAGAGCTCCATCTACCCTTTCGTCGGCAAGGAAAACTTTTTTCCTTGAAGTTCTGCAAAAACACAGATAAAATCACAGATCACAAGGGTGTCGCCCCAAGATTTGTAAAGACTCAGGTCCCAAAAACCCAGATCGCACGGGGTGTCCCCCCTAAGGGTTCGTTGAAAAACAAGTTCCAAAATGATAAATCGCAAGGGGTGTCCCACTACAGGTTAATCACAGATCGCAAAGGGTGTCCACCTATGGTGTTGTAAAAACTGGAGATCCCAAAAACACAGATCGCAAGGGGTGTCTCCCTAAGGTTTTGTGAAAACTCGGAACCGAAAACCACAGATCGCAAGTGGTGTCCGCGTAAAGGTTGTTATAACAAATAAGTTCCAAAATCACAAATCGCAAGGGGTGTCACCCTAAAGGCTTGTGCGCTAAAACAGATCCCGAAATAACAAATCGCAAGGGATGTCCCCCTAAAGGCTTTCGCGCAAGCTAGATCCCAACATGACAAATCTCAAGGAATGTCCCCTTAGGTTTTGTAAAAACGCCGATCTCAAAATCACAGATCGTGAGGAGGTCCCCATACAGGGGTGTCTCCCTAAAGTTTTGTGAAAACTCAGATCCGCAAATCACAAATCGCAGCCCTAAGGTTTTGTAAGAACTCAGATCCCGAAGTCACAGATCGCAAGGGGTGTCCCCTAAAGGTTTTGTGAAAACTCAGAACCGAAAAGCACAGATCGCAAGTGGTGTCCACCTAAAGGTTGTTATAACAAATAAGTTCCAAAATCACAAATCGCAAGAGGTGCCCCCTAAAGGCTTTTGCGCTAAAGTAGATGCCGAAATAACAAATCGCAAGGGATGTCTCCCTAAAGGCTTTCGCGCAAACTAGATCCCAACATGACAAATCGCCAGGAATGTCCCCTTAGGTTTTCAAAAGGCGCCGATCCCAAAATCACAGATCGTAAGGGGTGTCCCCCTAAGGTTTTGTGAAAACTCAGATCCGCGAAACACAGATCGCAAGGGGTGTCCCCCTGAAGGTTTTCATATCAAATAAGTTCCAAAATCACAAATCGCAACGAATGTCCCCTTCAGGTCTTGTGAAAACTCAGATCCGAAAACCCACAGATCGCAATGGGTGTCCCTTTAATCCCTGCGAGCCGCGACCGAGCAGAAAGCCTGTAGATACCGCGTTAAAACAACGGCCAGGGATCCCACGCATCGGCGGGAAAAATCTGGCGGAAGTGATCCGCCACCGAGCAAAAAACCTGTAAATACCGCAGTAAACAAAGGGCCAGGGATTTCACACATCTGTTGGCAAAATCTGGCGGAAGTGAGCAGTCGGTACTTCCGCCAGATTTTGCCAACAGATGTGCGAAATCCCTGGCCCTTTGTTTAATGCGGTATTTACAGGCTTTTTGCTCGGTGGCGGATCACTTCCGCCAGATTTTGCCCGCAGATGTGTGGGATCCCTAGCCCTTGAAGTGGTGGGTGAGAGGGTGGAAATCAGATCTGTAGATACCGCGTTAAAACAACGGCCAGGGATCCCACACATCTGCGGGCAAAATCTGGCGGAAGTGATCCGCCACCGAGCAAAACGCCTGTAAATACCGCATTAAACAAAGGGTCAGGGATTTCACACATCTGTTGGCAAAATCTGGCGGAAGTGAGCAGTCGGTACTTCCGCCAGATTTTGCCAACAGATGTGCGAAATCCCTGGCCCTTTGTTTAATGCGGTATTTACAGGCTTTTTGCTCGGTGGCGGATCACTTCCGCCAGATTTTGCCCGCAGATGTGTGGGATCCCTAGCCCTTGAAGTGGTGGGTGAGAGGGTGGAAATCAGATCTGTAGATACCGCGTTAAAACAACGGCCAGGGATCCCACACATCTGCGGGCAAAATCTGGCGGAAGTGATCCGCCACCGAGCAAAACGCCTGTAAATACCGCATTAAACAAAGGGTCAGGGATTTCACACATCTGTTGGCAAAATCTGGCGGAAGTGAGCAGTCGGTACTTCCGCCAGATTTTGCCAACAGATGTGCGAAATCCCTGGCCCTTTGTTTAATGCGGTATTTACAGGCTTTTTGCTCGGTGGCGGATCACTTCCGCCAGATTTTTCCCGCAGATGTGTGGGATCCCTAGCCCTTGAAGTGGTGGGTGAGAGGGTGGTGGGAGGGTGTTTGGGAGGTAGGGTGAGGAGGAGGTGGAGGGAGTGTGAAGTGGGAGGAAGGCTGGGTGGGGGGGGTTGGGACGCTGCGTGGGCGCGGAGGGTCGGTGTGTGGAAGGGGTGGGTGAGGAAGTGATCCGCCACCGAGCAAAAAGCCTGTAAATACGCATTAAACAAAGGGCCAGGGATTTCGCACATCTGTTGGCAAAATCTGGCGGAAGTACCGACTGCTCACTTCCGCCAGATTTTGCCAACAAATGTGTGAAATCCCTGGCCCTTTGTTTAATGCGGTATTTACAGGTTTTTTGCTCGGTGGCGGATCACTTCCGCCAGATTTTGCCCGCCGATGTGTGGGATCCCTGGCTATTTAAATTATTTAAATTCCCGGCCCGACCCCTCCCCAGGGTCCACCCCAATATTTAAATTATTTAAATTATGTAAATTATTTAAATTCAGGCCGAATTTAAATAATTTAAATATTTTGGAACCCCCAATATTTAAATTATTTAAATTATTTAAATTCGGCCTGAATTTAAATAATTTAAATAATTTAAAGAATTTAAATAATTTAAATCATTTAAATATTGGGGAGGACCCCGGGGAGGGGGTCGGGCCGGGAATTTAAATAATTTAAATAATTTAAATATTGGGGACCCGGAAATATTTACATTATTTAAATTATTAAATTCCCGGCCCGACCCCCTCCCCAGGGTCCACCCCAATATTTAAATTATTTAAACTATTTAAATTATTTAAATTATTTAAATTCAGGCCGAATTTAAATAATTTAAATAATTTAAATATTTTGGGACCCCCAATATTGAAATTATTTAAATTATTTAAATTCGTAAATAATTTAAATAATTTGAATAATTTAAGTAGTTTAAATAATTTAAATATTGGGGAGGACCCCGGGGAGGGGGTCGGGCCGGGAATTTAAATAATTTAGATAATTTAAATATTGGGGACCCGGAAATATTTAAATTAGTTGAATTATTTAAATTCCCGGCCCGACCCCCTCCCCAGGGTCCACCCCAATATTTAAATTATTTAAATTATTTAAATTATTTAAATTATTTAAATTATTTAAATTATTTAAATTATTTAAATTATTTAAATTCAGGCCGAATTTAAATAATTTAAATAATTTAAATATTTTGGGACCCCCAATATTTAAATTATTTAAATTATTTAAAATTTAAATAATTTAAATAATTTAAATAATTTAAATAATTAAATATTGGGAGGACCCCGGGAGGGGGTCGGGCCGGGAATTTAAATAATTTAAATAATTTAAATATTGGGGACCCGGAAATATTTAAATTATTTAAATTCCCGGCCCGGCCCCCTCCCCGGGGTCCTCCCCAATATTTAAATTATTTAAATTATTTAAATTGTTTAAATTCCCGGCCTTTCCCACCCAGAAACCCACATAGGGTTTATTTGGAAGCTGTCTCTCTTTATTTGTAATTAGGTAGCAAAAAACCCGAGTGCCAGCTTCCAAATAAACCCGGTTTAAGCCGCACACGGGGGGGGGGAGGCCGGCGGAACCGCGATCATATATGCCTGCATGATTGCGTGCATGCGTCTGTGCATAGCTGTTTGTCCTTGGTCGTGTGCATTCCTGCAAGCGTGCGTGTGTACGTGTCTGCTTGCGCACCGGCGTGCCTGCTTGCCTGTACGTGCCTGATTGCTTGCGTGCATGCGTGCGTTCCTGTTTCGTGCCTGCGTGCCAGCGTGCCTGCTTGCGTGTCCGGGCTGCCGCCTCGTCTTGGTTGTTGTCCTAGCTGCCGTCCTGGGTTGTCTGGGCTGTGCGGGCTGTTGCCCGCCCTGCTGGCCGAAGTCTTCTGATTGACCTGTTTTGGTTTTCAGCTGTCATGCTTTCCCAATGCGTTCGGCTGGTCTTGGCTAGGCTTGTCTAAGCTTTCTCTGTTTTGCCGCGTTGGGATTCGCATGAAAGCGATTCCCTGGACTATGCAGTTGACCCTCCCTTGTTCACCTGGGAGCCAAAACTTGATGGGTTTCTGATTCGTGCTAAAGGGCTAGATGTCAGTCTTGAAGAGTGTGTGCAAAGAGCCCGCAAGTCATAAGTTGTGCCCGTTGAGGTCGTATACTTCCCTCCGTAAGTTCATGTAAGTTCAAAACAAGGTGTGAATTTCTACTTTCATAGAGGGAGGGCAGGAGACATACACAGAGCTCTGCTCAACCAAGCTCTCTGTGAGGTCTCAGGATGTGCGGTGTGGCCGGCTGAATGTACCAGTACTTGTAGCGGATGCCATTGTTGAGAGTGCACACTTACCTCCAAGCCGGCTTACTTGTAGTAGGTTTGACTAAATCTCGGCTGGAGTAGCGAATGAGGGAAGTATACCGAGGAAAGATTCCGCAACTGTGTGTTTGTGTTTGCGCACAGAAACAGGCATGTTCGTTTATGTTGTATGTTTGTGCCAAGTCCGTGTCCAAGGATCGTGCCCACAGCAGGGCAGAAGCCGCAGGACGCCGTGCAGTGCTGTCATTCTTCAACGCGATTTTGACTTGGTTCGATCGACCAACAGAAACAATTTAGTTGGGTCTTGAAGCTTTTCATCAGAGCGCACAGATGCCAACACGGGTAGACCAGATAATCGAGCATATTTTTTGACACCACAACCCTTCAATTTCCGATCCCGGTATCCATCCAATTCCACAAATACTGCCGCCAGGAAGAAGAAATCGGTGTCAGCCAAGCTTACACCGATGCTGCTCTCCATGAGATGATTGAGTTGGACTTTGTTCAGTTTCGTGTGGCAGCTCAGCTACACAGAATCGGTTGAGGCAAGGGCGGGTGAGAGCATCCCCGTGTTCGCCGGCATGCTGTGAAGCCTGGAACCGGCCGCCTATGCACTCATAAACGCACCAATCCTTGTCACTGAGGCCGGCATGCCGCTGCACTGGAAGCTCTTCAATTTGTTCTGCTTGTTGTGCCCCAAGATCTATCTTTGGCTGCTAACCGTCGACATCGGGATCGTGCCTGGTACATGAAATTGTTCTGAGGTCCTTCAGGTTGGGTTCGGAGTTGGGATGTAAGGTTTTTGGTTTATACAAACTCTTCTCTTGGATGCAAAGCGCTGCGGCTGGGTCCTGAGCTTGACAGGTGTTCCTGATGGAGACGTCCGAAATTGAAGATATGATCATCAACTGCGTTGCTCTGGGATTTATTTTGCAAATCGCAGCCATGCAGCATCTGGTGATGTTCCACAGTGGCAACACACCTTAACCAGACCTTAATGTGATTTGTCACAGACATGGTACATGTGCTTCTGCCTTCTGGTTAGGATTCAGGCCAACTTTGTCTCACTACGCAGCTTGACTGCTCAAGGACCGCCTAGCGAGTCCCAGGAAAAGACCGCTTACAGCCTGGGGGTTGTAGGACCTGTCGTCTACCTGAGCGTCAACCTTACGGTTTTAACTCTGATCATCCTTGCTTTGCCTGCTGCCTTGCTTTGATCTACGATTGGTTGCCTGGTTGCCTTGGGCTTTGTGACCGAGAGTTGAGTGGAATCCTCCGCTTTTCACGGGTTATCAGCCGTAGGGCCTCCGCATCCGATTGTGGATTGCTGCTTCGCTGCTGCTGCTTGGCACTCGGACCGCCTGATCCAATCAGTGTCCGATCACTACCGTTTTCCTGGCTCAGACCAAGTTCGGTACACGTACAACGAGGGGGCAACCCAGTCCGGGGTCGACGTCCTTAATCCTACCGACACCGATATTATTGTCGAACCAGGACAGGATGTGGCAGTGGTTCAGTTCTACACTTCCGTGCTAGCCGCGGTTGAACTTGATTTCACGGATGAGGATGCCGGAGATGGTATTTCTGCACCGGTAGAACCCTCCAACGATGGTCTGGCTACCGATGCAGCGCCTGCGATGCCGATTCGTCCCGATCCTCATTCGCATCGCTCTCCAGACTCTTCGGTGTTCTTCTACAGTGCGTGTGTCGCACGGCCTGTTGATCGAAAGGAACGTGCCGCTAATCCCAAGGCCAAGGCCGCTCTTGATAAGGAGTGGAATAAACTCATCAACCAGGGCTGCTGGGATTACGCCTCAGAGATCCCACAAGCCTCAATCTGGCAACGACTCGAACAGCTTACTTGCAATACTGGTTTCGATCAGAAATTGCATCAGCTGATTGACTCGTTCCTCCTCACTACTCATCCGCTTGCGGACAAGCAGAGGAGACAATACCCTCGCGAGATCATGGATTTCATCGACCGATATAGGGTGATGTCCGCTCTCGCCTTTTCCCGAGTGGCAACGTTGTCTGGCGATGCCGCAGGTGCCCGCGAGAAAATGGACCTTGCGATGTCGCTGGCACGCCACTGTATGCACTTCCAAGCGCAGAGTTTCAAGGGAACTCGTGAGACGATGAGCAACGATACGTTCCGTCTCATGGGAGCATGTTACATCCCCTCGCCACTTGCGAGCTGGAACCGAAATCTCATTGGGTACAGCAGTTCAACTGCCGAGCAACGATGGCTGAGGACCGATACAAGCATCAAGCAATGACCTCACCAAGCTGCCGCCCATCGAGATTTCCAGGGATGCAGTTAATCACGCTGAGGCTGTGAAGTTCTTTAAGGGATTTCTGCAGCTACGGCCGACGCTGTCCTTCCTCCCTGGCTCATTCCTGGCGATCAAAGCCCTTAACCGATTCCCCACGCTTGACTCTCTGAAGGAGCAGGCGACTCACCTTGAAGGTGAGCGTAAGGAACACGGCTACGATCTCCCTGCCGTGGATGCGAGCGGGATCGGGGAAGTGGCTGCCTTCCGTCACGAGATCGATGACGAGAACGCCCCACTGATGAACGGGTGGATCTCGTTCATGAAGGCGTTAGTTGAGACCTATCCCGGACGATGCGTCAGCATCGACGATACGCTCAACTGGAGCGCTAGCACCCCGATGACCTATGAGGATGGTGCTTCGCAGGTCGTTATCCACCCGACTGACGGATGGGTCTATGTCCCCGCGATCAACTCGGACATTTATGATCCCCAGGAGACGTATCTCCACGGATCGAATCTCCGATACCTCTGGTCGATTCTTGCACACGGAGGCTTGTTCGGTGAAGATTATGTGACGGACGACCACGGAAGTCACGAGCCCTGCGTTTGGGTTACCGGTGCCGCTGCCGAGGCCGCCAGCAGCTACGCATCCGGCGTGTACCTCGGCGGAGGATACTGGTTTCAAGTGATGATCTGCGTCTCCCGAACTATGGTGAACAACCACAGCCGTACGACAAAGAAGCTGGGGGGATCCCAGAAGCAGATCCGCGTTGGAACTAGGTTTCTCGAGCTGTGCGGGATCGCGTTCAGGCCCTTCCGACTTCTGGATGACCGTGAGCAAGGGGTCTCGACCTCGCCACAATACGTTGTCCACGGACACCGATTTCTCAGTGCCGATGGGACGAAAGCCGTGGCATGGCACCCTTGGATGGAGGCGAGCCCAATCGATCCACGCAATCTGAAATTGCTGGGAAACGTCGTTGCCAAGGATGAGGTTGAGTTTGCCGACCTTTCGATTCAAGGAGGCAGTACTACCCAACAGGCTGACTCTAACGAGACAGAGCAGACTGGACCCGCCGGGGCTGATGATCAAGCTACGGCAGGAAGTGATGCAACGACGGAGAGAATCACTGTCAATGTGGCAGTGCTCCGACGCAACCACTGGATGCCTGACTCCTACGGAACAAGCGAGCACGCTAACGTAGCTGGTAGGTATGCCTTGATATCCGAACTCCAGTCCTCCTGCTACCGCATCGAGCTTGCCCCATTCTTCCCCCGAATGCGGAGGTCACGCTTGTTTTGGAACCGAAAAGCCTTTCAAATCAGACGTGTCAACATGCTTTACATATGCGGAACATCCCTCTTCCCAGACACACTCCCCCTTCTGCAATCCGCAGAGCAAGGGCTGATCAGGAGGGCCGCATCCGTCCTCTTTTTGAGGCCTTCAGGAAGGTGCTCCACACCTTCAGGTCCAAGCAGCTGTGCTTCACAGCTTGACAAGACTCAAGGCTAATCATCCCAGTGTTGCGCCGTATGAGTACGGACGCCCTGTACAAGACGCAGTTCCGTGCGCCCTTTCCACTCACGATCGGCCAACGTTTGGGCCGGTTTGGCTAGCATCTGGTAGTTGTCATTCACGATCTTGACCTCGCCATTGGCAAACTTGGCGAAGGTCCGGCGCTCACCGGTCAACTGGGCCTGGGTCGGCCCTCCAGAGGTCTGTCCTGGCACAAACATTTGAACCCGAGGATTCGGGTGCCATCGGATCACAACTCCACGCCGCTCATCCCATTCCCAGCGGTCTCGCTTGCCGCTCGGGTCCCGGAAACTGTAGGCGGTCTCGGGTCTCGGTAGGCCGGGTCACAACGCGAGGCTCCGGACCCTGCATGGTCACCGGGGGAATCGGAGGCGTTGGCGGACGACGCTCTCCAGTAACACGACTGCGGCTCCGCAAAGTAGAAGCGGCAGCCTGGGAGATCACCGGTGAGTTTACCTCCTGTCGATCCTCAGTGCCTGAATCAGGATCTGAGGACCTACTCAGCGAGGTCTCTTCCTGTGTTCTCCGCAGACCGCCTCGACAGTGCTCCAGCATCGTGTTGAACGCGCCCTTCACGCACTCCCAAATCGCAATCACGGCAGTCACGCAGATCGCGGCAAAGAAGTAGTCACCGTAGGGATGGCCCGCTTCCTCCGCAGCTTCTACTCTCTCAACAAGAGCGGCCATGCACAGAAGTAGGACCAACTTCTTTGCGATCTTAGGATCCACACCGGAGGAGACAACACGAGTCTCCCTTGAACGCGCCATCCTCATCCTCTCCGTGAGCTGACTGAAACGGTCCACAGCCAAGGCTTTGGTACCCACATCGGCCGTCATGACTTTGCCGTCAATGTGGTAGCACTGCCAATCGTCCTGCTCCAGGAGCTCCCGAGTCATATGCCCTCGAATCCGAAGGTGTCTGGTTCTCCACGAACCCGCTGCGCACCGGCACACTGCCAGGGCCGCTTGAGAGTCCGAGTAGATGACCTTCTTCACCATGGCATTCTGCTGGCAGCTGCCCACCATGAGCTCCGCAGCGAGGTGCTCCGTGGCCTTCAAACAGTTGGTCAACTCACAGATCGCCACCAACTCGCTCTCGGCCGTAGACATAGTGACGAAGGGCTGTCTGGCGCTCGACCAGGCCACCAAGCCTCCAGCCGCCATAATCAGCACACACTGCTGACTTCGCTCCGAGCCAGGGGCAAAGGAAGCATCACAGAAGCCTTCCAACGTAGGTCCAGACGAAGCGGTCCTGGCCTCTGGGTCCGTTTCATGCCGCCGCGAGTACAGCAGACCACCACTAGGGTACCTTTTCAAGTACTTCACCAAGTGCATGCCGCGGTAAACTGCTTCCTTCGGGGCTCGGGATATAGCCTGGGACAACACATTGGTGGCGTACATCAGCTCCGGTCTGCATCTCCCCGCAAGCCACTGGATCTCGCCAGCCATCACCTGAGCCGCCCGGGAGAAGTCCGCGGCAGCTTCGTTCTCCTTCAGCACGAAATCCTCCGGTTTCACTTGAAGGGGGGCAGGAACCTCCTCGAAGCCCTCTAGGTCCTTGTAGCGTCCCAACAAGTCCTGGACATAGCTGTCCTGGGTGATCTTCAAGCCGTCCTCGGTCTTCTGGATCTCGAAGCCCCAGCGTATGAGGAAGCCTCAGGGCATCCGGCGGCGCACGGAAGCCACGGAAACCATGGAGGGACTCCGAACTTGGATTCGGGAGTTCCTCCCTCTGGTAGGCAGCGACCGATCCCGGGTGCTCTGAGTGACAGCGTGGAGCCGGGCCATGGTGCAGTGGATGATGTTAGCGGAAATCCGCAGCGAGATCTGGAGGGCTCTGCGTTGCAATCGCGACCGGCGTCGCGTGAGAGAAGGGCGGAAGATGTGGGCCAAGTGGCCCGTTCTCTGGCGTACATGACCTCGCTGGTGACGACGTTGGTGGGACGAATGGACAGAGTGGAGCAAGCTCAATCCCGGAATGGGTCCAGCGCCTCTGGGCGGCGGCGGACTACCACGGCGACTTCGGCGAGGATGGAAACTCCTATGGGCGGTACTCCAGAAGCCGGGACGCTGGGATGGGTAGATCTGAACCGTTTGGACGAGCACCTGGCGCAGATGACTCTTGGAGGGTCCATTCACCCTCTTGAACGTCCTCTGGCCAGCATGGAAAGCATTATGGCCGGAACCTTCAGTTCGGACGACACCGAGACGGCGAGAGTTCGAGCTGAGCAAGGAGAGGCCCATGCGAGAGGAGTGCCTGGAGCTCTGCTGGGGCCGTTGGCGGAACCTTTGGGGCCTGTGGTGTTAGCTGGTCGGCCTGGGGATCCGAGTGGCGGTCTTCCGGTGGTGCCGTTTCCAAGTATGCCTCAGGAATCTACTTTGCAGCCCAGCCAGCTTTCAGGTACGTCTTCGGCAGTTGTCTTGCAGCCGGGTCAGCTTCAGGGTATGCCTCAGGGATCTGCTTTGTCCGGAATGCAGCCTCAGAGAATGCCTCAGGGATCCGCTTTGTCGGGAGCACCGTTTCAGAGTACGTCTCCGGGACCTGCTTTGCAGTCGGCGCAGCCTCCGAGTGCGCCTTCAGGATCCGCTTCACCGTCGGCGCAGCCTCTAAGTACTTCTCAGGGATCTGCTTTGCCGTCGGTGCCACTGTCAGGTGCATGTTCGGGATCCATGTTGCAATCAGGGCAGCTTCCGAGGGCATCCCAGGGATCCCTGTTACAATCAGGACAGCTTCCGAGTGCGACTCAGGGATCCACGTTGCAGTCAGGGCAGCTTTTGAGTGCGACTCAGGGATCCATGTTGCAGTCAGGGCAGCTTCCGAGTGCTCCTCAGGAATATGCTTCAGCATTGCCTCAGGTGGATGGGGCTCTACCCGATGGCCCTTTGGCATTGGCGTTGCCGACAGACGCCTCCGAGGAAGTTCAGTTGAGGAATGAAGGTGGTCAAGGACCGGGACCGGGCTATCGCCGTGACGAGAGCAATGGTAGTACAGCGTATCTTAGTGCAGCTTCCAGAGCGGTTCCGGAGAATGGGGTGATCACTGAGGATGCTCCTCCAGGTCTTCCAGCTCAGCGAGGACAGGGCCTTGTGATCGCGGCGCCGGCGATTGGTGGTCTATGCAGAGGGAGCGTGGAGACCGTATGTGATGGTCCAGGGGCAGATTCGGGCAGATGGTGATCCAGAACATGGAGGCGGCAGGAGCGTCGGCGGTTGGACTCTCTTTGGCCGCCCCGACTTTTCCCCCTGCCAACCTCTCGAGCGCAGCAGCGGGCCTGTCTGGGCCGCCTCCTCCACCACCGCCGCCACCGATACCGCCAACCTCGCCAAGGACTCCTTCCAGAAGACCCGGCGTGGGGTGCAATTCGACTCCGGGAGGAACACCCCTACCTCCCCCTCCGCCGTCTATTCCGTCTCCGGGTCTTGGAGGTGGGATTGTGGCGGGTTACCACGCGTCGGAAGGCTGCCGCCTCTGGTGGCAACGAAGGGCCAGGATGCTGCGGTTGTGGCGGGCGACTGGTTGGCCCAGCTGGAGCCGAGCATGTCGAGTTTGAGCAGCTCCGCGGCTTCATGGTGGCAGGCCTTGATGGAGAGAGTGAGGGTGCTATACACTCGGTGGCTAGAGTCGACGCCTATTTTGAGGCTTCAGATCCGTCAAGAAGTGTTAGCGCAGCGGCCTGCCCTTGACAAGTACCAGAGGGTGGAGCAGAGGGCTTCCATGCTGTTGCTTGACAGCCTGCCGGAGGACTTGCGAGCGGAAGTGGTGAGTGTGAGGGCGGTGACGGCCGAGGCGAGTACACTAGCTAGCGTATCCTCCCGCCACCTCCCTCTACACCTCCAGGGAGTACGTAGCAAGCCTAGCTTTAGCTAACTGGCTTCACGCAGTAGCACGGACAACACGAACTTCTCTTTTTAGCGTTGTGGCGAAGTCCCGCGTTAGCCCGGAGAAGAACTCTAGCCTTCCCGCGTTAGCCCGGAGAAGAACTCTAGCCTTCGGCTAGCAGCACAATGGCCACGGAGTAGCGCATGCTTCACCGGCCATGTGCAGTCACTCTAGCAAACAGACAGGCTTCGTTCTGTTTAGCTTCAGAGGAAAACCCCTTCGACGTTTTCTAGCGAAACACCTTCGATGTTTCCAACAAGGATACTAGCGCTAGCATACACTGTCGTACCTCGTGCCTCGGCACGAGTGCGTACACTAGCTAGCGTATCCTCCCGCCACCTCCCTCTACACCTCCAGGGAGTACGTAGCAAGCCTAGCTTTAGCTAACTGGCTTCACGCAGTAGCACGGACAACACGAACTTCTCTTTTTAGCGTTGTGGCGAAGTCCCGCGTTAGCCCGGAGAAGAACTCTAGCCTTCGGCTAGCTAATCTCCTCGCGCAGCCGTAGGGCTACCAGGGACCTAGCTTACGGGCCTTCTTAGCGAACCTCGGAGCCTTCGGCTCTCCGGTCCTCTTCCTCACTCCTAGCTCTTGGAAGTAGCTAGCCGAGTGTTCGAGGAGACGGCCCAGCACGCGCCACTCTAGCTTTTCCCCCTCCAGGTTCACCCTGAAGTCCGGGGAGAAACTAGCGAAGTTCTCGTTCGTGAGATCGTCCGCTAGCTGGTTCAGATCTCTGCGGATCCACTGTAGCTGAAGCTCACAGTTCTTAGCGGAGAGTTCCTCTGCTAGCTCCATCAACACCAGGGTTGACGGGAACTTCGTCGTCATGGCTTTCTTCAGTAGCGCCTCGTTGGACTGGTTTTCAGTGTAGCCACGGATGGCCACCTTGGAGGTCTTCTTAGCGTCTCCTTCTGGGACCCAGAGCCTCACGCCGACCAAAGTAGCCAGTAGCTCCAGTGCGGCAATGACCTTGTTCGGGTCCCCTTTAGCGAAGGCCCAGGGGGCCCAGCCCTCCTTCACCTCTAGCGAGAACCAAGGTCCGTGACAGCCGTCCACTGGCTCAAGGAAGCCCCCGATCCA